ACCCCTGCATCCTTCCAAACTTTCCATCTTTATTTATGCATTGTATTACTTTGTTTGGGAGTGTTTTGCCTGCATGTGTGTCTGTGCACCACATGTGAGCCACCTGGTGCCAATTTGAAGAGGGCATTAGATCCCTTGGTACTGGATTTATAGACAGTTGTGAGCTGCTACGTGGGTGCTAGGAATTGAACCAGGGTCCTCTGGAAAAGCAGACCTTAACTTCTAAGCCCCTCTCATTAAAAAAAAAAGTTACTATGGGTGTTTTGCATACAAGTCTATCTATGAACCACCTGTGTGTGGTGCCCTTAGAGGCCAGAAAAGGGAAGGCATCAGATCTCTGAGAACTGGAATTATCACCAAGTGGGTGCCATGAATCAAACCTGAGTCCTAAGCTAGAGTAGCCAAATGCTCTTAACCATTGAGCGATTCCCCACTCCACCCCCAGAATCTTGCAAGGCCTTAATGATGGCACTAATTTCTGCAATCCCTCCAGGGAATTTTCTTTTTTGGTTCACTATTTTCTCTAGTAGAAGCAACTAATGGCTTCCATTTAGCCCTAATAGCCCTCATTCCACAGATCTGACAACCAACAATGAGGCTCTGCCAATCTCTAAGTATATCTGTCCTACAAGAGTGAGTTTATGAGCCCAATGAACCCACTGTGAGTCGACTTTGGCTGAAACTCCATTAGTCACATGACCTCCATAAGCCCTTACTTAACTGGAGGTCCACAACACTTTGGAGGGGGGTTCCCCAGAATCAGTGTTAGTTCAGAGTCAGTGTCTAGAAAGCCCTAAAAAGTCTGGTTATTTCCTTTTCCTGGATTCATAGTTGCCCTAATCAAAGCCCATGGGTTCCTTTGGAGAAAGATTTAGTGTAAAACTTTTGGTAGTGTGACAGGGCCCTTCCTCAGGTGGACCTGCCTCTCCTTCATTCAAGAGGTTCAGGTCTGTAAGCTGGCTAGCCTGGGAATTTGTTGAGGAACCGTGATTTTCTGTTGCTACAATTCAAAGTAAACTTTAAAAATTTGTTTTATGTGTATGTGTGTTATGACCACATGCATGTCTGTGTACCCACTTGCATGTCTGGTGCCTGCAGAGGCCTACAGAGGACATTGGAGCCCCTAGGACTGGAGTCACTACAAATTGTTGCAATCTGCCATGTGGGTGCTGGGAATTGAACCCTGGCCCTCTGGAAGAAAAGTCAGTGCTCTTAAGTGCTGAGCTGGCACTCCAATCTCTCAAGGTAAATATTGCATTTGCTTTGAAATTTGCTTATACAGATGGAGTGGGTGCTTAGTAAGCCCTAATCCCCCATTTATTGCTCTTTTGGGAACACACACCACTGAGCTGTCCCAGTTAGACCATAATGGGCATTGTTTGGCCTCTGCTGTCCATTAGCATAGCATGTTGGAGAAAAAGATGAAGATTAACATATGAAAGAAGCCAATGATAGAAGAATACTGGAAACATCCAAGCAGGGGCTGTTATAAGGGACAGATTATGCCTGAATAAAGCTCAAATGCTCCAAATGTGGAGCATGTAGCTGCTATATAAATGACCCTTAGAAGCTCAAGACTGCCCTGGCTGAGCGCCACCAGAGCTTCTAGCTTTCCCCAGCTCTCAGCCCACTTCCATTCTTAGAAGGGCCATTTTCTTTCCTTTATTTTCATTTTTAAATTACGTTCATTTATTTGTGTGTGTGTGTGTGTGTGTGTGTGTGTGTGCACATGCTGTGCAGTTCTTTAATTCACAAGATGGAATAGCAATGCTCTCTCTGCACTACTCTGGTAGTGTAGCAATTTTAGGTGCAGAAGAATTGGAGAGCCAGCTCCAGACACCATCAAGCCCACTCTAGAAATTCATCCTCTGAATTCTGCCTCTCTAGAACCTGCTACTAGTACCACAAACTGGATTTAAATTGGGTTCTTCGGAGACAGAACTAATAGAAGAAATACGTATTATAAACGGGGATTTGTTAGATTGACTTACACAACAGTATAGATGCTGTTTAGACCACAAAGTTGGTCACCTCAGCAGTCCCAATCTGGTGTTGAAGGTCTGTCACTGGCGTGTAGTTCATGTTGTAAGAAGGCTAAAGAAGCTTGAATCTGACATCAGAAGAGGACAGTGGCAGCAGACACACACACACACACACACACACACACACACACACACACACACACACACGTTTCAGACCAAGGGAAGGCAGGCAGCCAACACTGCTTTTTCTTTAGACTTTTTTGTACTGGGTCACTGCTAGAAGGTACTCACTCCTGCCGGGTTAGACATTTCAGGAAATACCTGTTAGAAATAGAATCTGGTAGTTCATTTCCAATGGTCCCTGAGCAAGCTTAAGTTTAGATACCAATGAACAGAAAACACTAGATCCCCGCTGGTGCCTGTCAGTCTAGCTATTCTCTCCTCGCGACCCAACATACCCAGACTCTTCTAAGCTGCATACCATTTCAGAGTTTAGACAACTACTAACAGCCCAGCTTCCCTGCAAGATGGTGCATCTGATAAGCATTCAGATAAACAATGTGTAAAACACAAAATGAATCCACACAAGGTTTTTGTTGGGAAAAGTCACAGAAGGAAGATAAGACTTAGATAACATATAACCTCCCACCTTCCCGGTTATTCATGGAAGGAAGGAAGGGCTATTGGTTTAGAAACTGTTCTCTGTATTCAATCAGTGTGCCTGCCATTCCACGCTGGTGTCCAACTGTTGAAGCGCTAAGATAAACTGCTGAGCTTTTGCTACTCTGAGTCTCCAGACTCTTATTATGAAGTAAGGATAAGTTTTTCCTCACAGATGCACACACAAGTGTGTCTCCTAGGTGATCCAGATCCTGTCAAATTAACAGCAAAGATTATCTATCCCACACTGGGATGGTACAGGAGTGGTCCACAGCTGTGTTCAGGCCTAACATGTCTTTGGTCCTGCTTTTCCCCATCACTGCGACCTTAGAGGTCCCTAACCTGCTGGTGCAGGCTGTGATGGAGAAGACACTAAATCACAACAGATAGATACCCTGGTAGGGTTTAGCACAGTGTGATGGTGGTTTTGACATGTCAGATCAAACACTGCCTCTGAATGTGCATCTCGGAGGGTGCTTCTAGGAGCAAGCAGCAAAGACAGATAGTAAGGTGTGTGACCTTCCCAGGTCACTGAGATCCAGAGTAGAAAAGGTGGAAGAAATCAATTTGCCTCCTTTTTCCTACCTCATCACTGGAGCTGAGACATTGGACTTCTCCTGCCCTCAGACAAGACACACCACCAGACCGCCTGAATCTCAAGCATCTGTCTACGGACTGAATCACACCACTAACTTCCCGAATTTCCAGATGCAGACAAGAAGTGTGGGACTTCCTAAACTGCATGAATCAGATTTTCATTTTAGATTATAGGTAGGTAAGTAGGTAGGTAGATAAAGATAGATGATTGATAGATGACAGATAGATAGAGATAGGTAGATAGATAGGTAGATAGATACAGATATGATAGGTGGTACTTTAATTACCTTTCTGTTGCTGTGATAAAATGCCCTGACAAAAGTAACTTTAGGAAGGCAGGATTTTTTCTGGCTCATAGTTCAAAGTACAATACATAATGGCAGGGAAGTTGAGGCAGCAGGGGCCTGAATCACCTGGCCATGTTGTGTCTCAGAGCAATGAATATCTATGCTCAGTTCACTTTCTCATTTTCATACAGTCCCAGATGCCAGCCGAGGGAATGGTGCAACCCACAGTGGGTGGGTCTTCTCAACTCAATTAACTTAATCTAGATAATCCCTCATTAGTGTGTCCAAGGGCTTGTTTCCTAGGTGATTCTAGATCCTGAGCACATTACACATCATGGATGCATGGATGGATAGCTGCATGGATGAATGATTAATGGATGAATGGAGAAACAGTGGATGGATGGATGAATAGATAGATAGAATGTAGTTATGTATAACTCATTAAACACATACAATATATGGAGAATGCTGACTAATACAGATTTTTAGTACCAAGAGTGTTTTCTGAATCGACAGTTTAGTCTCACTAGACTTAAAACCACTAATAACTATATTACTAGTATTAAGAAGTCAGGAGTTGAGCCAGGCGTTGGTGGCACACGCCTTTAATCCCAGCACTCGGGAGGCAGAGGCAGGTGGATCTCTATGAGTTCCAGGCCAGCCTGGTCTACAAATTGAGTACCAGGACAGCCTCCAAAACAATACACAGAAACCATGTCTTGAAAAACAAAACAAAACAAAAACAAACAAACAAACAAAAAAAGAAGTCAGGAGTTAAGTAACTCTGTATATAATACTTCTGAACATTTTTGAAAGCCAAGACATCAGTCCTTTGCTCTTAATATTTCTGAACCAGATGACAAAAAGGATGAACTAGGGTTTGTATTTCCTATCAAACATCACACAGATGATCTACAACCTCTATGACGTAAGGGACAGCCTTGTCTCCTGCAGATGCAGAGAGGAATGTGCTGAAAGTCAAATATAGAACCGTGTGGTGATATACTATTTATGATTTATTAAAGCTTACCTGAGGATTCAGAAAGCAAAGCCAGGCTCAAGCTATAGAGATCATGTAGTAGTGATGCATACCTTTAATCCCAGAACTCAGGATTAAGAGGGTAGATGGATCTCTGGGTCCAAGACCACCCTGGGATACTGGAGAGTAAATCAGAGCTCACATCTTTAATCCCAGAATTTAAGAGGTATAAAAGGTAGGGACATTCAGTGTCAGGAGTCTCTAGCCAAGTTGAGGACAGCATAGCAGTCTGAGTGAACCTGAGGAGCAGTGAAGTCGAGAACAGTTTAAGCATCGCCCCTTTGGTCTGAGCTGAGGTAGAGGTAAGAAAGAGCTAGTGGCTGGGCTGCTTTGCTCTTCTGATCTTCGGCTTGAAGCTTGAACCCCAATATCAGTCTCTTGGTCTTTTATTTATTGTGCTATAATTGATGCCAGCAAGAGCTAGTGGCTGGCTGCTCTGCTTTTCTGAATCCTCAGGCAAGTTTTAATAAATCATAAATAATATACCACCACAGAACCTTATTCTAGACTCACTGGATCACAAGGCAAGGTAAATCTATTGTTTAAATGAGGACACTGACTGGGAAAGAATAGATCCTGAAAGCTGGGATGGGTCATGTGGGAAGGCCGTCATGAAGCTGAGGACACCAAGACCCTGTGTTCTGATGAACCTCTCTTGATAGCAAGTGTGGTTCCCATAGGCAGGAGAGATGGCTTGGTGGTGAAGAGCACATAGTGCTCTTCCAGAGGACCTGAGTTCAACCGCTGGCACCCTTGTCAGGTGATTCACAACTACCTACAACACTATCTCCAGAGGATCTGATATCTCTGGACTTTGTGGGTACTCCTCTCCCACATATGCAGCATACATACACACACAATTAAAAATAAAATAAAATTTTAAAATCAAATAATTGATTCCTACCCCATAGATGGGGCCTCCATGTTTACCTGGGGGAAGTCTGTAATGCCCAAGGGAATTGCTATGACCTTTCCGGAAGTAGCTACCAGGCAGGACAATACTGGTTCCTTCCAGCACCACCCCTCCCTGTGGGTCCTACCTTGTTCTTCCCTTGCTGTGATAAACATCATGGACAAAAGCCACTAGGGGAAGAAAGGATTTATTTGTCTTACCTTTGGGTAATAGCCTATCACTGAGGGAAGTCAGGACAAGAGCTCAAGACAGAAACCAGGAGTCAGGAACCATGGAGGGATGTTTACTGGCCTGATCTCTGGCTCATGCCCAGCTAACTTCCTTAGGCAGCTCAAGCCCACCAGTCCAGAGATGCTGACACCCACCGTGGACTAGGCCCTCCCACATCCATTATCAGTCAAGGCAATCTCTCACAGATATGGCCATAAGTCAATCTGATTGAGGCAGTTCTTTAATTGAGGTTCCCTTTTCCCTAGTGACTCTAGGTTTATGTCAAGCTGACAATGAAAACTCACCAGCACAATTGTTTCTAGACTCATAGGTATACATGGGTCCTGGTACAGAACAGTATGTGACCCACAAGGATATGCACTATACTTGAGAAGAACTGTTTGAGTTCTCCATTTTAAAAAGACAGAAATGTAGTGAAAAGGAAATAATTTGAACTCATGTGGTAATAGATATCAAATGAGACTGAGAGGTAGGACAGGGTCAAACATAAAGTTGGATCAGAACAGATGTATCAGTATCAGAGCACTGAACACAGACCTGTGTATCTAATGATACAGCTTCAGGAATCACAAGGATGAAACTGAGGCATGGCGGTGCACTCCTTTATTCCCAGCACTTAGGAGACAGAGAAAGGAGATATCTGAAATTAATGCTATCCTGGTCTACAAACCACGTGCCAGGACAGACAGAACAGTATGGTGAACCCTGTCTTGAACAAAACAAAACAAAACAAAACACAACAAAGACTAGTTAGGTATTAGTTAATTAGTTAGTTGGTTAGTTAGACTCTGTGTGTGTGTGTGTGTGTGTGTGTGTGTGTGTGTGTGTGTGTATGTCTGTATGTGGTGGCCACAGAGAAAGAATCAGAAATAGGAGACTTTCAATGGTTTTAATGTAGAGGGGTGAATGAAAGACACAGGAAATTGAATATTCTAGATTGGATTTAACTTGTTAAGCTTGTTTGCCCACAATGGAAAGGTCCGGAAGGCTGACTTTCACAATGACTATGAGAAACAGACTTGGGTACCCTTCCACTGTCCTATGATTGCTCATCCCTGAAGACTGTACTGTACAGTGGGAACCAAAGCTAATCTATTGGAAAACTCAAATCAGTGACAGTCATTGGATTCCAGGGTGGCATGGACCATGTGGGGGCTCTCAGAAGGGACAGGCCCAGTGGCTGAAGTTACTATAATGGAGAGCAGAGGCTCAGCCAGTCTCAGCAGTCTGGCCAGTACAGACCTGTAGTGCTGGCTGATTGATCATGGTGTTCCTTCGGGGAAACAGATAGAACGTCTGCTAACTTCTTGCTTGATCTTTCTATGGAAAACTTCCAGGATCTGAGAACAAAAGTGTAACTTGAGTCATAAAAACAAAAGGTCAAAAAAAAAAAAAAAGGTCACAGACTCCAGCAGTTCCCAGACCTGAGCAAGTTTATGGATCTGAGCTCATGCATGAAGGGGAGGCCTGGTTCACTGCAGGAGAAATCCTGGGCACAATACCCATAAGGTTTCTTGTTGATCTTTCCATCCACCTTCCCCCAAGTGGACCCAAGACCCTTTCTCAGGTATGCTACACTGGAGAAGAGGAAATGAGCCGTGTGTTTAGGGCCTACTCAGAACTGGCTCTATATTGACAGATTCCAAAAGACTAGATCCTCATGGTGGCCCCCCAGACAGAGTCAGGACTTACAGAGGTAAGAAGATCCATAGAGTGTAGGTCTAGTCCATCTCACTGCGAGCTTATAGGTCCCCAATTCCATTCTGTGACCATTTCCTTAGATCTAGAAAAGAAAAAAGGAACAGATCTGCTTAGCCAGCAGCAGGATCCTTCAGTTGGCACATCCAACTCTCCTACTGGCCTGAGTCATTGACAGGAGTACCATAGAGGAAGATAGTGGGATCTGTCTCAGGTATTAACTCCAGTCATAGATTCCCTACTAGATGCTACCCAGCTGGGTGCATGAACATGTGCCCTGGTGGCTGGTATGTAGACAATGACTGGAAACACCTCTTTCCATACCCTTGTCCCACCATGAAGCCCATCAGAGTCAGTGTGCTTTCATCTGGCAAGGCCACCTTCCCCATCCTCCCTCAAAGTATCTGCTCCCCAGCCCTGGTTCACAGTTTGGTTCACAAGGACCTTAACAACATTTCTCTTCCTCCTCATTGTTGGCCTGTTGCACTGATGTCATGTTGAATGAATTAAGCAATTCACAAGTAGCAACTACTCACTTCTTGGTAAGACACTGGGTGGGTCAGAGATGGAAGTCAATTCAAACGAATTTCATCGTAAGATGTCTAGGCATGTCAAAACATCCTGTCCAGGGAAAGATAAGTTATTTTTCTTATCACATGACCCCCGCCCAAACCAAAAGAAAGCACAGCCTCTCATGGGCCTATCCATATTCCTTACTTGATTATGTTGTTCGGGCAACATACTAAGCAATGCATATGGTTCCCAACAGGAGGCAGCTCCCCAACAAGTTCAGATGTTCTTCCATGAGGGCTCTTTGACTCTCACAGAAGTGCTGGGACTGTAGTAACAGAGGCTTTGGTTTGACCCCATGGGGAACTAGCAGCAGACTGCCCCGCCAGATTGTGGAGTGAGGTCCTGTCCTTATTTGCAAATAACCACTTCCCTAAAGAGACGCTGCTCTTGGTTGCTACTGAGTATTCATAGAAACACGTCTCACACATTACTGTGCATTTTAAGCTGCCCATGATGAACCACATGTCATAAAGCTGGGTGTGTCCAGCAACAAGGTATCATCAGAAGGAAGTGAGCTATCTGATTGGGTCTACGTGGGCCCTGAAGGCACAGAGTAAGCATCAGGCAGAAGTGACCCAGATGTCACTGCTCTTTGCTCCTCCCAGTTGACAGCTTGTGGCCTCATGGAGAGTGTCCTATGACCAGTTAGCAGAATAAGGGATGACCTGTGTCTTGCTTACCAAGTTGTGATGGATAATTATATGTTAACTTGACACAGGCTAGAGTCATTTTGGAAAAGGGAACTTCAGTTTAAAACATGTCACCATCAAACTGGCCTTGACTGATGATTGATGTGGGTGGAGCCATTCCACAGGCAGTGGTGCCATCCTTGGGTGGATGGTCCTGGGTGGTATAAGACAGAAGGCTGGGCAACCATGAGGAGCAAGCCAGTGAGCAGCACTCCTCCATGGCTTCTATCTCAGTTCCTGACTCCAGGTTCCTGCCCTTTCTGAGTTCCCCCCTGATTTCACTCAGTGATAGGCTGTGACATGTAAGTATAAGATGAAATGACCCTCTTTCTCCCCAAGTTGTTTTTGGTCTTGGTGTCTTCTCACAATAGAAATCCTAAGTAAGGCATCAGAGTTATGTAGGTACACCCTACAAGTTGACAGCTGCAGCATTGCAGACCTCTTTGAACACCCTGACAGGGGTGAGGGGACCCTCCCAGATGGCAGAGCTTTGTTGGCCAGTGAACTATGCTATGTCCTTTGCTTAGGAAGAGAAATGGCTAGACCTGGATTATAAACCAGTTATTAAACTATGTCTAGTGGTTTTACTGAATGAGTAGGGACTTTGAATAAACTTGATTAGAAAATGTTTGGCAAAGAAAGTTGGGGAAGAAATACAAGCAAGGAGCTGGGATACAGCTCAGCTGGAGCTCTGGTGTACTTTCCTCCATTACTGCAATAAACACCATGACCAAAGGCAACTTATGGAAGAAAGAGTTTATTTTCCCTTACAGTTCCAGAGGGATAAGAATCCAGCATAGCAGGAAGGCATAGCAACAAGCAGCATACATGGAAAGACCAGATCTTTAACCATGGAAAGCTGTAAGCACAATGCAGAGAGAGTGACTTGGAAGTAGTACAAGGCTATAAACACTCAAAGCTTATCTGCCCCCTCCAGCAAGGCTGCCCTCCTAAGCTTCCCCACACAGCATCACCCACTGGGAACCAGGTGTTCAAATGCTAGTGCCTGTATAGGACACTTCTCACTCAAGCCACTACAACTAATCTGGGTGGCCAGTGAGCCCCAGTGACACCCCCACCCTCATTTCTGTCTTTTCAGCACTGGGATTATAAGCAGACACCAGGATACCAGAATTTTTTTAAATGTGGGTTCTGGGGATTGAATTCAAGACCTCATGCTTTCAAAGCAAGTACTACCAACTGAGCTGTCTCCCCAGCCCTAGACTGGTAACCCCCAAACAGAAATTTGTCTCTGAAAGGATGAGAAGTTGAAGATCGAGAAGACCTGTTCCTCCCAGATGGTACCTCCCTGCTGTGTCCTAGCACGGAAGAACAAGTGGACACATCCCTCACTCCTTCTATAAGAACATGGTTCCCATTTGTTAGGGTTCTGCCCTCCTGTAAATGAGTCACCTCCCAAAAGCTGGTATAAAGCATCATGTTTGTGGTCAGCCATTTTAACCTCAGGGATACTGCATTGCCTCTAGGAAAGGAACACACTTGCCAACAAGTAAAGCATGGCCTGAGGCCACATCCATGTCATTCATGAGTCTAACGCTGTCTCCACCACTCTGAAACAGCTGGCTTATAGCCTGAAGATAAGGCACAGCACCAACTGGGTGGCAGTGCCTAATAGAGCTGAGGCAGAATTCTCCAGAAGGCTGAATGTTCTCTGACTCAGTGTCCCATGTCCCATACTGTTTCTCCCATAGTCATGATTCATGGGTCCAGAAATCAAGGGGTAGGTATGGGAATGGAACCACTAACCACCACCCCTGGAGACCTAACAGCAATTTTTTCCTGTTTGTACAACCTTATGCTCTGCTGGCCTAGAAATCTTGTTTCCAGAATAGGTAGCACTTCTGCAAGGAGGTTCGACATCGTCTTGAACTGGCTGCTAAGATCCCCCTTTCCCCTCCCCTACTCCTCACAGTCAATCTGAGTTCCTCAGGCTGAGGAGAAGTTAGGATTGGTAGAATGTCTGACCATGGCTACAGGAGAGATCTGCAGTTCAGGGCTCCCTTAGGGTGTCCCTAGTGTCACCGGGTTAAGGTCAATAGGAACACAAGAACTCACAGGCCAGGGAAAAGTGTAGGTTACCTGCCAGTAAAAACTAAGCAGCCAAGGACAAATGTGCTGCAGAAAGGGTGGTGGAAGAAGGCATTTCCTAATGCTAGCTAGGGTGATGTGACCAGAGACATCTGCAAAGAGTGCAGTGGTCACAGCACTTCCTCTTTTTTTCCCCTTTTTTTTGCCGGGGTGGGGAGGGGGCTTTCAAGACAGGGTTTCTCTGTATTGCTTTGGAGCTTGTCCTGGAACTCTCTCTGTAGACCAGGCTGGCCTCAACCTCACAGAGATCCACCTGCCTTTGCCTCCTGAGTGCTGGGACTAAAGGTGTGTGCCACCAACACCCAGTCACTCTAGCACTTCTTTTTTTAATAATGTGTCTAGAGAGATGTAACCGCAGTTAAGAGCCCTGGATGCTCTTGCAGAGGACTTGATATGGTTCATAGTACCAGTGTGGCAGCTCACGATTGCCTGTAACTCCAGTTCCAGAGGATCCAACATCCTCTTCTGGCCTCCATGAGAACGACACACATGTGGTACAAAACACCCATGCACATAAACTAAAAATACATTTTTAAAAAACCCTTCAGTTTTTTGCTGTGTAGCTGTAGCTGGCCTGGAACTCATTATGTAGACCCAGCTGGCCTTGAAATCACAAAGATCCATCTTCCACTGCCTCCTAAATTCGGGATTAAAATTGTGCACTACTACACCCAGCAAACTTATCTTTTTTTCTTTTAAAGAAAGTGCCTGTGGGTATATAGTCCACATGTGAGGAATCAGAATGTTTCCTTCATGTTTCTTCCCTAGCTTATTCCTGAATCATGTGACCCCTAGTCTTTGAATTATATGGATGTCAAGGAGAGAGCAAACATCACCTAAGGACTACACATTCTCCTCTGGGGAAGGGTTCAAGGGATGCTTGGGATACAGCACAGGTTTGGCTCATGCTTTGTAGAACCATGGCCTTGTAGTCTACTAGGAGACAAAGAGGGACTTAGGGAGATGTTATAGGGTAGTCATGTGGCCCTAGCTACATCACTGTGAATATATCCTGTTGACATGGATGAACTTGGCAGTTAAGAGTGTCAGCCTGACTTGGGTTGTGGACTGCTCAGATAGATGAAAAAGCACTGCTCTTGAGTTGGTCTCTGGAGGTTTTTCTGGAAGATACTGAAACTTGAAAAGGTGGCTATGGGGAAGACCCACCTTAACCAATGTGGGTAGCACCATCTGAGCAGCTGAAAGTCCTGATGGAAAACAGTGAAGTTCTCCCCTCCCCTCGCCTCATCCTCCTGGCATAATTCTGTCCCTGGATGTCAGACCTCTGGGCTCTCTGGGAGAGCCAAGCATCCAGGCCCTTCACTGACAGACCTGACCCCTGACTGCAGGCCTTCAAGCCTGGGTTTTGTATTAGTTTATTGGCTCCCCTGGTTCTAAGGCATTTAAAGTTGGGCTGAACCTCAGTAGCTGGTCCCCTGGGTCTCCAGACCACACATGGGACTCATCATGGGACTTCTCTGTATCTACAACCATAGATGCCAATATCCCTAATAAGTTCCTCTCATCGGTCTCTGTGTCAGGGTGGAGATACAGTAAATGGAGCAGGCCTCTGTACACTCTTGACCCTCCTTACTAGAGATGCTCCAGCTTATAGGGTTGCCTCATCTGAGTTCTTGTCCCTTCTGGGAGGCATTCCAATGACTGATAGAGGGACAAAAGGACAATACCTTTCTCTCAGTTTCTGGTGCCTCCAAAGGGCTACATCAGCTCCAAAGGTACCCTCGGGCCATCAAAGCTAGCTTGAAAGTCATCTCCACTCTTATAACAGTGCAAGTTCATGGTGTACAAGGATCCTGTCCTAGGCAGGTGCTGTGGGACTGTCAGGCTAGGGACCCAAAGCCTAGGGTCAGAACCTAGATACTATTATGGGCAGGAGCCTCCTTATAGGACAGGAAAGCATGGATCCTGGGTTTCCTAGATGGAGCACGAGGAAGCAGAAGCCTCTGATCTGGCTGGAAAGACAGATGCCCACAGAGACATGCAGGCCTGTGGATCCACCTACACCATGGGCCCTTCCTATCTCAGTCCATGTATCATCTAGGCACTGAGTTAGAGACTGAGATAGAGAATATTCTACCCCACCAGATGCAGTGTCTGCACCTAGTATCCCCACTTGATGGTGGCATTTGGGGTTCAGAAGTGTATGCATCCTGCAGATGCTGATTCATAGTACCAGCTGGCCTTACTGTGATTGACCTAGTGTGCAGTGGGTCTTGGCTTAAACTTGGGACAGCCAGCATTATACCATCCCCTGGCATGCTAGAAGGAGAAGGATAAAGTCAGAATGTGGACTCCTTGCTGGATCCCCATCCTACACCACACCTGGAGTTCAGCCCCTCCCCCCGGACCTCTCTCTAGTGGCCTCTGAATCTGTGTCTCCTTTCTTCTCTCTCTTTCCTTCTCCCCATAGTGCACTGTCATGAGGCTTTTGAACCACTCAGCTTCCTCATTGCCCACCTGGGCTGCAAGAAGCTGCTATTAGACCAGTTGTCACCTCAGCCTTTCCCAGTCCCTGCCAATGTCCTTTGCAGAGTCTCCCGATTCTCTTATCTGCCACAAAGATTGGACCTCTGAGCCTTATTTAATATTTTTTCTCTCTTAATTACTTAGTATTGATCTGGAAACCAGAGCCCAGTTCCACTGCAAAAAAAATTAATAGCAGGCAGTACTGATGGCTATTTCTTTTCCTTAATGTTAGATCCTGGCCCCAGCCATTCCCCCACCCACTCGCTGGTTGGTACTGAGGCCTAGCCCCACCCTCCCAGTCACACACTCCCTTTAAAGCACCTTCCCACTTCCTTCTCCCACAGCTTAGCCCAAGTTGGTTTGGTCATTCATTCATGCTTGAGGAAATGAGAATCAGAGACAGTTAAAGATTCTGGAACTTTCTCCCACGGCGTCCACACTTCCTGGCTTTCCCCTGAGTATTCCCAGCTGCTTCCTTGCTTTGAAAGGTTTTCCTTCAATCCAGACTTCAGGTTCTTCATTGAGTAGACCCACTCACCTTCTCTCTACATTCTACTCCATCCCGCAGTGGCCTCGCCACCCCAGTCCCAGTGACCCCTTGACCTATCAGGGTCTAGGCTGGAGGTGAATAGGGGACACACTTGACCACCCACACCTTCTTTACCTAAGCACTGTGCACTTCTTCGAATCTCCTCTTGCAGTCTCTCCGTGGGAACTTCAGAGTCCCCTTCAGAAAAGCTGGCTTCCCATGTGTAGCCTGGTCACACGGAACTCGGTGAGCAACTGAAGTCAACCGTGGGTATAGCTTGTCTAGGCAGCCCCTGGTAGAGTCTAAACAGTAAGAGACAAGATCAGGAAGAGCCCCTGTGACAGACCAAAGGTCCTAGAGTCTCAATGTGCCCTCTATGTTCTCAGTAATACAGCCTGGAGAAAGAGGGGCTAAGGCTATGTTTAGGGCAGCCTGACTCTGATCAGAAGGGGGCTGGGCCAGGTGGGTACCTGCCCTGTGTGAGCCTGGTCACTGCAGAGGCAGGAGATAATTTCCCAGGCTGTCCCTAGGCTCCAATCCCTCCCATCCATGGTGATGGTACAGAGGTAGGAGTCAGGTTGCTGGGCCTTCCTAAGTTTGCATTCCACAGGAATGGAGGCACCAAGAACAACACAGCCAGAACTGGTCACTCCTCAGAACCCTTCTTTTCTCAGGAGATGGGTCTTAATAGGCTACTACTCCCAGGGCTGAGCAAAGATTCCTGGGTAGATAGTGAAGGTGACCCTGGCTTCACACTAGCAGGCAGCACTACTGGGGTCTTAGCACAGAGTGACACTGGAAACATAAGGCAGGAGTAGCCCTGTAGGCTGAAGCTCCACCCCCAGCCCAGACAGTGAGCCATCTGACCCTCTCCTCAGGGACAGGGCCTCCTCTTGCTGGCTCAGTCCAGATTTCCGGATTCCACTGCCTACGAGGAGAAGTCCTGAGGTGGAAAAAATATGAAGCTCTGACCAGCCCTCTCTACCTCAGAGAACTGTGTGTACTTGGCCAGGCTATTGCCCTGGGCCTGTACTATCCTAGGAAGCAAGGGTCCCACAGTAGGGGTGCAATGTCTGGTCAGTCACAGTCAGGGTCACAGTCCTCCAGAGGCCAGCAAAGCGTTGTTCTTCCCACAGCTGCAGTAGCCACCCCACCCCTAAGGAATCCAGAAATTGTTGCTGCCTTCTTCCTCCAATAGCGGGACTGAAGGGGGGTTGGGTCCCTGCAGCTCCTGGGGAGACTCATCCTGACCCACATGTGACCTCTACAAGCTCCCTGAGAGTTGAACAGATCCCACATCTCAGTGCTCCCAGCACATGCCAACGTGCTCTCCTGGGCTCAGCAAGTCCAGGGCTCCCAGCACAAAGCCAGCACCTCACGGCAAACTGTTCCATGCACGTGTGCAGGCCAATCACAGGCAAGCTCACAAGCCCTTGGCACTCACAGCCTGTCATACAGGGCCCTGCCTTGAGCTCCCTTCCCTCCTGACTCTGAAGGCTTGATGGTTTGGGCCTTTTGAAAACCTTACAAGTTGGGGCTGTTTGTTATCCCTGAGGCAGGAAGGTCTCCCTTGCTGGTGACCTCTTGACAATCTCTGTCCACAAGCCAGCCACTGATGGCTCTTCCTGACCCTGCACTGCTGCCCCTGTGGATTTCTCTGACCCCCTGCTGGTTGTCCACAGGGAACACTTAAAAAGCACAGTCCAGAGCCTGAGTCTCTAGGGTCCCTAGGGCCAGGCTCAGACTCTAGCCTTTCCTCTCACTCCCTTCCCATGCTTCTGGTCTGGGGTCTTTGTCTACATGCTAACCAAGTGTCGGGCATAGGCCTCAATTATGTTTCTGCTTAACCACTCAGCCACCACTGCTGGATAGGGATCACTTTTTTCTCACCCACTTCTGGCTCGTCTAAGTTCCCTGAGTGGGTGACAGGTCCTTTCCTGGTCTACTAAATGTGATGACCAGAATGAGAAATGACTTCCTGTTTTAGTTTGTTTTCTGTTACTGTAATAAAACACCATGATGAAAAATCAACTTAGAGGAAGAAATTGTTTACTCGGCTTATGCTTCCAGACTGCAGTCTATCGAGGGAAAACTAGGCAGGAACTTGAAACAGAATCCATGGAGTAATGTTGCTTGTTGGTTTGTTTGCAGACTCATGTTTGGCTAGCTTTCTTATATACCCCAAGGCTACCTGCCTAGGGAATGGTGCTGCCCACAGTAGGATGGGCCCTTCTTCATCAACTATCAAGACAGTCCCCCATAGACATGCCCACAGGCCAATCTGATCTGGACAATCCTTCCACTGAGATGTCCTTCTCAGGTGACTCTAGGCTGTGCTAAGTTGACAGTTAAAGATAACTAGGTACAATGTCCACACAGGACTCTAGGATTCAGAACCCTTGGGAAGGAGAGCCTAACCTCTATGTAATAAGCCCTAAGCATCAGGACACAGTACAAAAAAGTCTGGGTCTCTGAACTCCGGCAGAACTAACTAGAGAACTCCCAAGTATGCTCTGCAAATCAACCCCAAGGCATCCTGCCTGCCCGGCTCCTACTCCTCCTTTCTCAGACCAGACCAGCCACCTGCTGTGGAGGCCCACCTGATCTGTGTTTGGAGATATTTCAGATCTTATGCAGCCACGATTCATCTACCATAAAAGCTTCCCATGGATAGACTGGAGTCCATGTTCTCAGTAGTCAGAAGTGTGCAGCCCAAACCACTGCCTAATCATAGATCACTTTCATACCCCAAAGATGGGCTGCGATCTCTCAGGTACCACCACCCTCTAAGCTCCAGGCAATGGCAAGCCTCCCTTCTAGTGCTATCATTCTGCCACTATTAATTTACATACTCTCAGCACTTTTAAAGTTTTAATTATTTATGTTTTTACATTCCAATCCCAGTTCCCCTCCCTCCTCTCCTCCTGCTCCCCTCACCTTCCCCTCACCCAACCTCCCATCTGCTCCTCAGAGAGGGTATGGCCTCCCCTAGGAAGTCAACTAAGTCTGTCCCATCACCTTGTTGAAGCAGGACCAAGCACCTTCCCCCACCAGTAAGCACTTTTTTTTTTAAGACAGTGTCTCTCTATGAAGCCTTAGGTATCCTGAAACTCTCTATGTAAACAAGGCTGGCCTGGAACTTAGAGATCCACCTGCTTCTGCCTCTCAAGTACTGGGATCAAAGGCGTACACTCTACACCCGACTTTCCTCAGCACTTTAAAAGGAAGTGTTGAATACATGGTCTTTCACACCCAGCCTCTTTCGTCAACAAAACATTTAAGGGCTTTGCTTTGTTTTAGGGTCTTACTTTATAGTCCTGGTTGGCCTGGAACTTATGGAGATCCCCCTGCCTCTGTCTTCTAGGTTACAGGCATGTGTCACCATACCTGACTCAGCATTATCAAGGCTCATCAGAGCTATCACATGTATTATAGCTTCCTTGATACTTTGTGGTCTGGACAATGCCATGTTGACATGTCACATGATGGGTATTCTTGTTGTTTCTACTTAAGTGTGTGTGTGTGTGTGTGTGTGTGTGTGTGTATTTGTGTGGAAAGAGGCAGGGTTTCTCTGTGTAACCCTGGCTATCCTGGAACTTAATTAGTAGACCACACTGGCCTTGAACTCAAAGACCCATCTGCCTCTGCCTCTGCCTCTGCCTCTCTAGTGCTGGAATTAAAGGTGTGTGCCACCTCACCAGGCATATTATTTTATTTTTATGTATGCATTAGGTTCTCTAAGAGAACAGAACTGATACAATGAGTATATATTAATATATATTTAAAGGGAATTTATTAGAATTGTTTACAGATTGTGGTCTGGGTAGTCCAACAATAGCAGTCTCCCAGTGGAAAAGCCAAGAATCTGGTAGTTGTTCAGTCCACAAGACTGGCTGTCTCAGCAGTCCCAATCTGGTGGTGGAGTCCTGGAGGATTCCTGAAGAGATGTTGGTCTTTGCTACATGCTGGAATCCTGAAAAAGTAGGTTCTAACACAAGCCAAGGAATGCCTCACCAACAAGACAGAGAGAGTGAGGGAAAACAGGGGGGAAAAAGTAAGTTTCCTTCTTCCACGTCCTTTTATGTGAGCTGCCTCCAGGAGGTGCGGCCCAGATTTAGAGTGGGTCTCCCCACCTCAAACGATCCAATCAAGTAAATCCTTCACAGGGATGTTCAACTACTTGAGTTTCAGGTGTCCAGATGTAGTCAAGTTATCTGCCAACATCGGTCATTATAAAGTGTATGGGTGCTTTGACTTCATGTATGTGCATCATATGCATGCAGTATGCAGGGCCCATAGAGGTCAGAGAGGACATTAGAACCCTGGGAGCTGGAGCTACAGGGCATTGTAGGCCACTGGCTGAGGTGCTGGGATCCAGACTCAGGCCCCCATGACTGAGCACCATGCCCTCTTAACTGCTGAGCCACCTCACCAGCCCTGGTTCCACTTTTTGGTTATGATGACAAATGCTGCCATGAAAGTACATGGATCCATTTCTGAATGGGTGTGTTTTCATTGACCTTGGGAGAACAGGCACATGTTTCTACATATGGGTAAATACATGGACCAAATTTCTTGACTCTCAATCCCTTCAAGACAAATTCAGATTCATTTGGGGGTTTCCGAGGTTTTATGATAATAGAGACTTTCCTCTCATGACAGTACAAAGACAGCTATTTGTTGAACAACAGTCAGCTGTCACAGGTTACTTTTAAAAATGAATCTTTCCCTTGAAAGCTTACCATCTTCTGCTGTGGATTATGTTCATTGTTAATAAAATGCTGATTGGCTGGTAGTCAGGCAAAAAGTATAGGTGGGTTGATCAGATTGAGGATGCTGGGGGAAAGAAGGGTGGATGGAATCAGAGAGATCCTAACCAGTCTCCAGGAGAACAAGACATGTTATAGGATAGGTAAAGCCACGAGTCATGCGGCAAAACATAGATTAATAAAAATGGATTAATTTAAATGGAAGAGCTAGTTGGTAAAAAGTCTGAGCTATCGACCAAGCATTTATAAATAATACTAAGTGGTATAAATAATATTATTTATACTCTGAGTGGTTATTTGGAAGTGGCTCCCGGGCGGGAAAACTCTGTCTACAATCTTCTTCTATTCCTATCACACATATACAGAATTACATAGAGTATGGATAGAGTATGGTGACCACAGTTACTGGAAGTTCAGCCCATATTGTGGTCTCTATTTACCATGTGGGTAGAGAAGTGAAACACTTTGGGTATCTGGGTGCTTGCATACCTAGAGAGCATTACTGAATTTAGAGTCATTGCCTGAGTCCCAAC